GACAGATACATGCATGCATGAATGCAGATGGTATGCACGCACACACGCACGCATCAGGTACACCGCCCTATTGTCTCTCGAGCAGTCACGCATCGAGGTCACCGGGCCTTCTGTGGGCTGCAGCCGGGATGTCCAAGCTCCGTCTTTCCATGAAAAGACCATGAGAACATCGGCTCGGGTAGGACTTCACAGGGTTTGGACTCCCCCGGCTGCCTGGGCGACTTCTCTTGACTGTTTAGAAAAGCTTTTCGCGAGCATGCAAAGAGACTGCATATGTTTAATTCGAGAGAAGACGCCCTGGCAAACCAAGTTCGGGAGCCTTGGCATTCGCCCCTCAAAGGCTCCCAATGTCACGAACAACTCCACCCCTCGTTTGACGACTGTACAGATACCCCACGAATGTTGTGGGTATGAGCGCCCGCTTCTGTAGCAGGCAGAACCAGTGACATTTCATGCAACTACCGTATAGCAAGCATCAGAGACACTTTTCCACAAAATTGGAAACGGTGGCCACGACGCCACCTTCGCTGCAAAATCGCAAGAGCATCTCGTCTGGAAGTCCACAAGCGCCTTTCAGTTTAGGAAGGCAGCTGTGCCCAAAGTCAATCAAACGAAGCAGTGCTCCAAGTGCCCATTGGACTCGTTGAAGTGCAAATAGCATACGCCGGGCTCTTCAGCATGTTTGTCGGCCACTCGCCAGACGTATCCTAGCCGGCTCTCACACAGGACCTTGAACTGCTGCATCGCCTCATCATACTGGTCCTTGGCCAAGAAATCGCTGAGCTTCCTGCGTTTGCCGAGGGAATTCAAGAGCTGCAGTGAGCTGCAGTCTACACATCCCAAAGTCCCAATCCATCCCTCCCTGAAGTCCTTTGCAACCGCTGGCGTACCCGGCGTCGGCTGGCCTGGTTGTTGGAGGCTTGGATGGATGCGACGGCTCGCTCCAGCAAGTCCTGGACGACAGACTGCGCGTCCTCAATGCTGCGTCCTGAGACAGGATTTGCTGAATCAAGAAGTCAAGCAAATCAAAACAGCAAATTCGCAGATCCCCGGAAGCCTCTCCTCGTTCCCACTCGGAGCCTTCTTGGCTTGAAGCATCGCTGAAACTTCGCTCCGTTCGCTCTGCCATCGCTTGGTTTAGGACAAGCAAAATCCTTAGCCTTGGGCCGTGGAGATGGCTGCGATACAGCCCTGCTTGAACATGCTCGCGAAAGATGGAAAGCATTCCATCAGCGCAGGGTTCTTCAGGGTCGGATGCACAGCTGCAAGCCTTCCATCAGACATGAACTCTATCACGCATCCTGAGAATTTTTTGAAGAGCAGTAATGTCGCATGCGCCGGCTGAAGTTCCCAACCAGTCTCTGGCCATACCCCGGCTGGATGTCGGCTTGCAGATCGCAGGATGGCCTCTGCGTACAGCGTGCTGTGTCCGAGTCTGAGATGGTCGCGCTTTGGCTCAGTCGTTGTTTGTGACCCCTCTCTCTCTCTCGCTCTCACAGGGCTTAGGGGCTCCATGCTCGTCAGTCCAGTTCATCTTGCTGCAGCTACTGTTAATTAACTCTCTGCCATGTCTATCCATCAACCTGTCAACTGGTCGATCTGCATATTCTATACAATCGGTTAATGGGTGTGTGTGTGTACAAACGTGACATGAGGCATATAGGAAGGACAGCGAAGTAAGTCACGAGCAGACAACCGAATAAACAAAGTATTGACATCTATGTCAATACACACACAGATACACAATATAAAAACATATACATGCACCGAGGCATGCATACATATATACATGCCTGCATGCAAACGAACGTGTCTATATACATTTTTAGCACTCGCGCTCGAACAGCGTTAGGCCAGGTTTGGGGCGGCAAAAACAAAAACAAGACTCTTCACGAGTCCCAATTAGGATCAGTCATTCCACAGCGGCGCACACGCACACACACACACATACATGCATGCATGCAAACATATTTTGCATGCGTAACTGCATACATACATACCTACGTACATACATACATATACATATACATATACATATGCATATACATATGCATTTACATATACATACACATACATGTACATATACATACTTACACACATACATGCATACAAACATACGTATGTGCGTACATAGGTACATGCATACATACATACATACATACATACATACATACAGACCTACTTACATACATGCACCCGCATGTACATACTTAAATGTGCTCATGCACACACACACACACGTGCACACACACACACACACACGCCCGAACATACATATATGTATATATATATATATCCAGAGACAGGAAACATTCATCCATCCATCCATCCATCCATCCAATGCACATAATACACGCATGAAAACATACCTTGCAAGCAAGCGAGCCGCAAGCACACAGGCATGCAAGCAAGCTAGCATACTCGGCAAGCGACCCCTGGCAATTCACATTGGCTTCTACGCATGCGCAAGCTTGTGCCGGGCAAGGGCCTCCACACTTCTTGGGCTACCAAGAGCACATCCGCGCCATCCCCTACTGGGTACCATGTTTACACGATTGACCAACCTAAGCTGCGTCACCAGTCCAAGAAATTCATGTTAACATAAAGCCATTTTCCGTGCATGTGCACTCTGCTTGCGAATGCATGACACACACACACACATGGTCGAAGTTGGTAGTCAGCCTCGCTTCTCACGCACGTGTGAAATCTGGAAACGGCCCCCGCGCAAGCACATGCACCTGAATGTCGGCATCTGCATGCGGCAACAAACTTCGTACTTGCGCAGGTGTGAGCCTGCGAACCTTGTGACGCCAAGTTTCCAGCTGCTCAATGAAGGGACTGTAAATACTAATCCAAAGCCAGCCTCAGCATTTTCCAACCAACATCACGATCATCAAGTAACATACATCCTGCCGACAAAAGCAAATTGACAAAGCAGTTTCAACGAAACCTGTAATTGGAATCGAGGCCTGGTAACGTGTACCAGAGTAGCTCTATAAAGCCGTATGATATATTAAGTACAGTAGAATGGCTTACTCCCGCCTTTTCCACACAGACAATGCTTCCTTCGTGCGTGCCAGAAACCAATGAAAGTCATGACATGGTACAGTAGGTGCTCGAACGAAGAGAAAGGCTTCGGTTGTCTTGCTTCGTGCGTTGCTGAGCTATGCACTTGGCAAAGGCGTTAGTTAAATTCACATGCCAGGCACATCTTGTAGCCTGTAAGTAAAGTACACTCCTTGATTGTTGGAAGTGTCACAACCTTCATCATCGGCAAAATGCCCTTTGTCAACCCTCCTTCTGACCCAACTACAAATTGCAGCTGGTCGGCATATCAATGCCAAGTTCGGCAGTCACCTTAGGGTTTTTGGAGGATTCCGCCCGCAAGTCAACACCACCCGACTCGAAGCCTCCACGGGCAGCCACGAGCCGTCTATCCAGCGCACAATTCAAGATCCTTTTCGAATCCGGGCTCATGGCAATGAAAACATTGCATGTGCACGTCCGCTTCAGTTCTGTCTCTGCTAGACACGGGTCCAGATACACAGGAGCATCTGGTCCAAACTTAACCCCATGCACGAGCACATGTAACCGTTGGTACAAGTGTGATTGTACCCATTGGCAGCACTTTGCCCCCAGTAGCCCCTCCACAGCACCAGGACAAAAGCGAGCCTGGCATCAAGGGCTTATCTCAAGCCAGCGCAGTGGACCTACCGAATCCGGGGGCATTACCACAGGTCCGGCTTCTATCGATCGTCTCCAGCTTTCAGATCTCAACCAATGTTTTCCATACGGTACGCGGCAACAGCGGATCCAAAGGCATGCCGACTGTTGTAACAGAGGTGGTCGTCCTCCCTGTCGAGAGGCAATAGCAGTATGCAGAATGCTTTCTCCAGTGGACATCATGTAGCGTAAACCTGGTCACTGATTCATGTAGAGCAGCAGCATTTGTCACGACCCCCAACGGCCAGTGCCTATGCAAGGTCATCCCGTGAACTTCCGAACACTTGGTGGCTGTACTATGGTGCCTTCCCCAAGACCATGACTGAAGTCCCAGTGTTGCCTTCAACAAAGAAGAAGAAGTCGTCAGGGTGGTTGTGCAGTAGTCGTGCGGTCTTCTACATGTCACTGACGCAGGCTGTGCTTGCAAACGCTGCAAAGCTTGAACAACGAAGCTTACAAATGGCACGCAATTAAGGCAACATGCAGGAAAGCGGGCAACGGAGCTGGAGCGGGCAATCTTGGGCTCAGCAATGTAGGGTCTGCGAAACTAGTGCTTGCGGGTTTCGGGACACCTTGTCGACGCGTTTGTCAACCTAGCTGCTGCATACAGTAGACCTGGGCAGCTGCTGCAGATATGGCCCATATGGCTACAGAGGACGAACCCTCAGCCTCAACCCAACAACACGAGCTTCACCCCACCAACCAAAAGATTCACGAATCTAGGAATTTTAAGGCACTTCAGCTGGCAACCGACGGCCGGGTCACCACTCATTATGCATGCTATGCCTGAGCCATCATTCTTCGAGACTTTGAAGGTGACAGGGTGTTTCAACGAGCCAGAGATGCTGTTTGTTAGGGCTTGCTGCGTATAGGCTCCGAGTCTTTACTCCGCAAGTACGTCTCTTGAACGGGAGAGTTCGATCTCGGCTTCTGCAAAGCTCGATTTCTTAGCGGCCCATCCATTGCCGCCGACATACGCTTGGAATTCCGAAAAGGAAACGGCCCAAAATGATAAATATTCTTCTCTTAGCAAGTAGGATCCCCCAAGAAGTGAAAGGGAACCCGTGCCGTTTCTGCGTTGCCCTTGCAGATCTGACAGGGGGAGACGTCCTTTTCTCCAGCGTTTCTGCCTTGGGCAAGCTGCTGTCTAATCGCCCCTCCTCTCCACCAAGACCAAAAACGATACAATTCCATTGCTGGACCTGGAATTTGTACCCATTGAGACGGGAGGGATTTCGTGGGATGCCTTCGGCATCCCAAGGTCCTACACTGGAGCCTCACCTCTCCTTCTGGGCCGATGCCTGTCAAGGCTTGCCGCATCCCCGGCTTGAATTCAGGCTTTGCATCCGCTCACGTCACTGTGAGGCACTGCAGGGCAGTGGAGCTTTGGACTTCCGACCTGGCCTGCTGGAGCATGGCGACGGTCTTTTCCGGCTTGAAGCCCGACTGAGCCATCCGCTCAACCAGGGGCCTGGCTGGGCACGCGCAGAGGTCTGCGAAATAGCTCCTCGCTCCTTATGTGTTTTGATAAACGATCAACGGTCGGTCTCTGCATCTGCTTTGCGCAGGGTGTCCGTTTGGGCGGTCCGTTCCGGGCCTGTTCAGAAGAAGCTCGCGGTGTCGGGTTTTGTCAGACACTCCCTGCTCCATCTTGTGCGCTCCTGGCATTGCACGAAAAACGGAGCTAGAATTCCGTGCAAGAGATGCGCGCCTGCTTTCACCAGCATGGCACCGAAGAGGTTGGCATCCATCTCCTGTAGAGCCACTCATGGCAGGGTCTCGGAGAGTCGGCTCACACATGGCACGGAGCACGCAGCGCAGTTTGCCAGAAGCTCTGGCCACCACGTAATTGATTTTGGAGTCCGGCTTTTGGGCAGTCCACCAAGCCAATTTTGCAGCCGGAATTCTCAACATAGCAGATTGGCGGGGGTAGGGTAGTCAGTGTGTAGTCTTCGAGACAGGGGCCCTTCTTCTTCTCCTTTACTCACGCATCTATGCTGCTCCTCCCCCCTCCTCCCCCTCCTCCTCCTACACTACTACTACTACTACTACTACTACTACTACTACTACTACTACTACTACTACCTCCTACTACTACTACTACTACTACTACGACGACGACGACGACTACGACGACGACTACGACGGCTACTGCTGCTGCTTCTTCTTTCTTCCGCCTAGTACTGCTATTCGTGCCCTCCCCCCCTTCTCTTCGTGTGTTCTTTTGCCTCGTGCCTTCCGCGCCGTCAGGCTTCTCTCCGCAGCCAGGCGCTGGGACTCGGCGAAGTCGGCGTCCTGCTGGCGCCAAGTGGCCGCCTGAAGGGCGCGCTGCTCGTATCATGCTGCTCTCACAGGCCCAACTTGCCAGACTAGGGTTTTGACTCTCGCCACTCGCCCAAGACAGGCAAGGCTCCACACAATCCAATCACGACACAATCACGAAGAAGTGGGAGGGTGGGCGAGGGGGGGGTCTGTTAGGCTGATCCGAGATTAATCCGATGCTACTCCTGCACTAATTTCCTAGGATAACCCTAGGCTAATCCTACGCCAATCCTACACTGATCCAGCCCTCCTTGGTGTTCCACCGTGATCCTAGACTAATCCTAAATTAATCGACGCTACGCCGGCTGATCCTAGACTAAGCCTTGTGACGAATCCGAGGCTAATTTGGTGTTCCCCATGTCCCGACACGAATCCTAGATTAGTCCGAGGCTAATGCTGCACAAATCCAGCGCTCCTGGGTGTTTCACTGTAATCCACTGCAGCACTCCTATGCTTATGCCGTTCTACATTCTCTCTGCGTCTCTGATTCCCCTTCTCTCTGAAATCTATACTTCTCGCTGTCTGTCTGTGTCTACCGTTTCGTTTTGCGGGTCTGCTGGAGGCTGTCACTGAACCCGTTCATCTATCATTAACCTAGCATAAATCATAATCTGTGACAATCCTGCACCCATCCTCTGCCTATACCCGACGAATTACTTAATCTCATGCTAACCACGTATGAAGATGATTAGTGAAGGACTAATTAAGGAACCCACCCTCCAACTACCCACCCACTGAGACAAGCACAAACCGGGCCGGAATAGGGTGCTTACAGGTTTACGGCTACGGTGTTGCAGGCCTTTGCGTCCCGCTCACTCTCGCTATGGGGCGTTAGGGGTTCACTTGTGGGATTACGCAAATCTAGCGTTTCTCTAGTGCTTGGGGTTTGAGGTGGGTCCTGGGCCTGGGACTTCGATGGTTTGGGGCTTGGGCCTGGCGGTCGCGAGACCCTTGCCGAGACTCTCACCCTGCTGTATCACAAACGAACTTGTGTATCCGTTGGCGAAAGAAGAAATGATACTCGAGCTTTCCGGGATGCGGGGCCACACATTTCCATCACGGGTGCCCTTGAAGCATCGTGCATTTTGGCCGATGTTCTACCTTCAGCGTCATCTCGGTGGTCAGCCTACTGTAGCGATGCACAAGTAGCATAAGCTGGACGAGGCATCTCCCCTTCAACAACCAGGCAGTAGAAACCCACTGGATTTGAACGTCGGTCCTTGCCTGCCACCTGTCCGCCTCTTTGTCGTCCCAGCCCTGCAGCGCAGGAAAAGCTGCAGGATTTAGGGCAAAACTATGCAAAACTGGCCCAAGTCCCAAACAACAAAAATGTGCTCTCTCTGGGTCTGGGCACTCCATACCCCAAACCCTCTTCCCTGCACAAGAAGGGCCAAAAGGCAATCTTCCATTCCGATTCTGGGCTCCGAGCCCTCTCCCTCCTCTCGGCGGCCTGCTGCTTGATCGTCGCGAACCTTCCGTTGTCCACAGGAGCCAAATAGCGCGAACACCCAGAAGAGCAAAAGCCGACTCTTCCTCTCTACGGCGAAACAGTCCAACTATGCTATCACGTAAACTCAACTTACTCAACTCTATTCTAATGATTAAAGTCTTCTGGTGCAGACACTGCAGACCTTGCCCTTCTCTTTTGCAAGTTGCAACTTTTGCAGGCAGGCTGCAGCTCCTTCGCTTGCCGCTTGCGCTCCGCCTTCCTGCGGGACTTACTTGACTTAGACTGTATGTATATACGAATGGTAGCATAAATATAAGAATATGAGTGCCAATAAATAATACGAGAAAGAATTCGTCTGCGACAATATGCTTTGTAACATGTCTGCACAGTCTGTGCAAGTGTGGAGGAGGGAAAGCGGAGGAGAAGAGGCGTGCTTGCTCAATAAGATGTCTTTTTTATCCCTCCCGCCTGGACGAACCTACGATGCAGGGTCATATGCTGGTTATGAGAGGTTGCCGATGATGCTTCACGCGTTCGACGGGGACGACTAGGTCGGAAAGAGAGTCGCACCTCTAGCCGTGCGGCCTTGCCACAGGGCTCGAAGTAAGGCCACGGCTTCGCGAAGAAGTCTGCGGTCTGCTTCTTCTCGTAGGCCCTGAGCAGGACCAGGAGGAAGGACCAGCTTCCCTCATGCGCCCTCCGGCGGCCTGAAATTTCGATCGATGGTGAGGTCCAGCGCTTCTTCCTGGAAGAAAGCCCCCAAAACGGCTCAAGCCCTTTTGCCCTGTATGACACAAGGCCCTCGCTCGCCGCCTGTTCAGCCCTTCAGCTGTGGGGAGGGGGAACTCAAGCTGAGCTGGAACGTCCGTGATGAGCCCCATGTCATTTTCCTGTGCTTTACCAGTATTTGCTAGGCTATATCATATCGCACTGTAGTAAACACGAAGCCCTCCAGCTGCCACGCCCTTTTACAATCTGCGAGTCGCTTTCCTAACGCTCTGATTACGTCCCGCAGCACTGGGCGACTGCGGCTCACGGGCTTTTGCCAGATGCCCCGCAATTGTGCTTCAACAACAGACTTCCTTGGTGCTCCTCGAGCTAACAGCCTAGACCATATAGACCAGACCATCAAACGATATCAAACGTTGCTCACTTCCTTGCTTGTCCCATATATTTCTTCCATGTACCAGAACTTGGCGGGATAATGTCCGCCCCAGCGCTGTCCAACATCGAGAGACCTCCTGGATGCCCAGCGGGGATGTCCAAAGCCTACCCTGCTAGTGACCAAACATATTAAATTCCCGATGCTCTCGCGGCTCGAAAAAGGCTTTCATCTACTGCTCCAGACAGACCTTGTTTGAGATCACCCAGACAGCTGCAGGGCTTGCGCACTCGACTCCTCTCAGAAGAAAGTCAGAGTGTCGTATCCAAACCTGTGCAAGGCTGCAGAGATCATGGATGTATCCGAGCACGGTGTGCGGAAGTCTTACCGCCACAACTGCCCGCTACTCTCCGGGGGCCGGACCACGTGCCGGAGTCATCTTCGACGGCGATCACGCGAATCGTCCCTGCCACCACCACCGCCGCCGCCGCCGCGCCTGCAGCGCGAACTTCAAAGCGAGTCTTGGATGGTCCTGTCCTGAATCTACAGGCCTGGGTGGGCCGCCATTCTTGAGGACCTGGGCGTCAGTCGATGAGACATTTCTCTTGCCGCGCATGGTCATAATTCTGACAGCTTATAACAGCTTAATGATGCATAGATGCCCTATCTATATCTATATATCTATATATCTGTATATCTATATCTCTCTATCTATCTATCTATCTATCTATCTATCTATATATATATATATACATATATATAGAGACA